TAAACAGATCACATGCCTCTGACTGTTCTTTGAATCAACATTGGAGGTTCGTGTCTTTTTCCTTCAAATCTCTTCAGTCCTTCCTTCAGTGTTTCAGCAGCTTTATGTGCGATCAGAGAAAACCTCAGGCAGCAACAGATTCCATCAAAACTGAAAAGTGGTGCTAAAAGAAACAAGCTAAGATTTAAATGAGCTTTCAGTCACAGCTGTTGATGGGTTTTGACGTTAACTTGGAGGCGGAGCTCTGATGGAAGCAGAACGAAGCACGTTGTTGTTGTTGTTGTTGTTGAGGTGTTAACACTGGAGGTGTGTGTGGATCTGAGTCTAGCATCTGTAAGTAACTACGAAGTGTTCTTGTGTCACTTGGAAGCTGCCTCTTCCGTTTCTCCGAGTGCGAGCAGACAGGAAGATGAGTTTTGTGATGATGAGGATGGTTCTCCTTCATCAGAGCTCAGTGGTCAGAAGACCCGGGGGTTTGTGTTCATCCTCCGAAGGCGGGGCCTGAACCACAGCGCTGCAGGAAAACAGGAACACGAGACGGCTGCGCATGAGAACTCTTGGATGGAACATTACAAGTTTATTTTTTTTTATTTTTGGCATCCTTTTTTTAGAAGCCGACCTATTAGGTTTTCTCTTGCTAGTTTTTTGTTTTTTCCCCAACGTGGGCGCAAMTTCTACACTGGTTTTATGGCACCAGGTGGTCTCCCATCCAAGTAACAACCAGGCCCAACCCTGCTTAGCTTATGAAATCAGACATAAAAAACAATATTTTATTATAAATTAGGGGTGCACCTATTCCAGTTTTATTGCTGATCTCCGATCTTTAAAAAGTCTGACATGATCGATTTTTCACAATAAAACTTCACTGTACTAAAACAAACTGAAAAACACCCTTGAAGCAAAACAAACGTGTTTTATTGGACATTACGTATCGCTCACAGCAGAACGAAAGGATAGTTTCAGACCTTTGTAGAAGCAGAAAAGCTGATCTTTTCCACACTGCAAAAAATGTCCACCTGACCAAGTTTTAAAATCTTATATCAGCCAAAAAGTCTTTTTGATCTTGTTTTGAGACTGATTTACTAAACAAGAACTGATTGTGTAAGAATAA